AATGCCTAACCGTTTGGCAACACTGTTTTTCGGCTTATTAGGCTTATCAACCAACTCACCAAACACGTAACTTTTGTTTTCACGCGCTGAATTGTGTAATAAGCAGAAAAAGTAGGATGAGAGTTACTTTTCTGACTGTATATGCTGAAATTACTGTATATGACCGTTTTAGCTATTTTTACACATAATTTTTTCTTTATTTTATAAATAAAATATATTTTAAAAATAATTTTCTTGAATCAGCAAAATCAACCAATGCAGCCACTTTAACCAGAACTTCATAAATTTCAGCAGAATCAGTTGATTTTCGTACTACCAAATTTCAGCAGAATCAGCTGATTTTCGTACTACCAAACGGGCTCATAGTCATCTCCTAATTTTTCCTGTATTTTTTCCATCAAGTAACCACAATTGCAAAGTAGAGAGTCTAAATTGAATGAACGATGAAAATTATTATTTACAGGATTGCAGTTTGTTACTTACGATCTTCACAGCGCGACCCTTCAAAGAATTTTGCAACATGACAACCAAAACAATTACGGAGTACCATTAGGGATGGCGGGTTTGGGCGGGGTACACTCCCCTTCCCCCACCGCATGTCTAAAAAGTCCCCACATCCCCGCCCCATCCCCCGTTACTCTCAAACCCGCCCCATCCCCCGCCCCACCCCCGTTGTCCCCACGGGTGTCCGTGGGTGCCCCGTATAGATTTAATTTATCGTATTTGCATATACTTTTAATCCATTATAAAAATATATGGTGCAGTTCCAGTGAGAACGATGTTTAACGTGAGAGTACTCACACTTAATCCAATGTGATACACAATAGAGCCCTTCTAATGCACATATTGACTTTGCTCGATACTAGTTAATATAAATAATCACGGTGACACTTTTGTAAATATTATGTTTGATACAAAAAACTGCATTGTGCGAGCCTCATTGTGCGTCACGGCACATTAGGGATAAATGTGGTGTTCTCGCGTTAAACATTGTTCTAATTTGATCCTAAATATATATATATATATATATATATATATATATATATATATATATATATAGACAAATATTCAGGTCCGGCCAGGCCGGACCACTCCCCCCGTCCGGCCTCCTCCATTTGGGGGCCTTCCCGATGGTATTTTTTGCTCAAATTTTTTTTGTAGGTTCCTCATCAAGTCTAGTTCATCCATACCAAATTTCAGCCAAAAATTCAATCGGAAAGGTCGTCAAATGATTTTTGCAAGTTAACTGGTCCGGAAAATACATTTGAGAGAGAGGATCATGTGAGAAGTCCCCCTTAGGCTGAGAAGCTGCGAAGTTAACTTATAAGCAAAAAACACGAACTTTTAACCAATAAATCATAACTTATAGACCCCCTCCAAAAAAATTGCGAAAATGCCACCGCGTCAAAATAACTCCGGAAACCTGGAATTTTTTTTTGACGCGGTGGCATTTTCGTAATTATTTTTGAGGGGGTCTATAAGTTATAATTTATTGGTTAAAAGTTCGTGTTTTTTGCTTATAAGTTAACTTCGCAACTTCTCAGCCTAAGAGCACTTCTCACCTGATCCGCTCCCGATATATATATATATATATATATATATATATATATATATATATATATATATATATATATATATATATATATATATATATGCAAACACAAACACACACACACGCAAACACACACAAACACACACACACGCATACGAATATGCAACACTGAAGTATTGTGTTTGTTAAAAGTTTAGACCGCCGATTTTAATAATAATTCTTCAGTTTGAATGAATTTTGTGAATTGAAGACAGTTAAAGTAAAAATATAAATAAACATATTATATCATGTACGTCGTTCCAAAATTTTCAACAATTATAATACAATTAGTTACATGTTAAATATAAATGTAGGTGTGTTTATTTACTCACTTTCTCACTCTTAAAACTCATACGGAGTATAACATTTATTATAAATATTTTTAATCATTACTAGCTTATTATTATTCTAGTATAATATGTATTAATTCACTAACCATGACTAAAAGGTGTACAATTATGTATGTCTATACGTATATGTATATGTATATGCGTTTGTTATATACAACATATAATTTAATTTGATATGTTTGTACATTATTTATATATGTGTATATATATATGGAGTCCCGTTCTTCTCCAGCCGGCCTGACGGGAACCGCCGTCCGGTCAAGGGCATTTTGGGCACTTCCCGATGGAATTTTTTGATGAAATTTTTTGAGCATTTCTTCATGAAGTCTAATTTATCCATACCAAATTTCAGCTCAAAATTCGATCGGGAAGGCATTCAAATAATTTTTTGAAGTTAACTGCGTCAAAGTATACATATAAAAACCCAGACAACTTTATCAACGGTTGCCGTGGAACAAGAATTTAGTGCGGCCGGCAACGTCCTAACCGATTATAGAACGAGGTTGAGCCCGAGCTCTCTTGAGACGCTAGTTTGCTTCCATGATTGGTTGAAGGCCAAACGAAGAACTCAAGAAATGACCATCGCTCCCACCCGCCACTTTATGGAGGAAACAACTACCGAAAGCGGAGATTCCGATTGATTTTTTATTTCAAAATGTATTACATATTTTAAATGCATCCTAATTCTCAATTGTACTTCTTATTTGAAATAAATATACTTGAATTATTTTATATTATTGTGTACATCAATTAAATAAATCAATTCAATAAAATTCATTTGTAAACATGTACTTCATATGTAGCACTTCTCAAATTAATTAATTGGTTACAATTTTACAAACTTATAACTTACAACTTGAAATTATTTTTGTAAAATCTAAAGGCTGTTTTTAAATTAAAATATGTAATATTAATATGTAAATTAATTAATTTGTTACAAACTTACAAGTTACAACTTATACACCTATTTTGTAACATTTGTAAATTATAAATCAAATCACTTTTCTAAGTAAAAATAGTTTTACTTAATTAAAAAATTAAAAACATTTTCCTTACACAATATGTATACTTTTCTAAATCATATCACTTTCCTTACACTTTTCTAAATCAAATCACTTTTCTAAGTAAATTATACACAATATGTATAATTTTCAAAAAAACAAAATTAAAACATTTTGAAGTGGGAGATTGCTCCCAAACGGCTATATAGCCGTTGGGGCTTAGGGTGGGGGGCAGGGGGGTTGCGGGGGTGGTGGGGTGGGGTGGGGTTCAAAAAAATCTATAAATACATCTATTTTCTACCATTTTCTACACCTCTTCTCCATTCTCCAACTCTTCTCCATCTTCATCTTCTCTTATTATCCTATATTTCTACTTATACATCTACCATTTTAATTTTGGAAAAATTGAAAATAATAATCCCAACTATTGTTGGTCCGCTGAAAATAATCCCAATTATTGATTATTTTTGTATAATCCCAACTATATAGACTATCCGCCAATAATGGTCCATGACCATATATTACCTCTATAAAAAGTGAATTTTAAATAGAAATTAAGCGTAAAAATTAAAAGTTGAGATTATTTATAGGGATTACTTGTTATATCTCATCTCATCCACTTTAGAAACTACAAGAATTTATTCATATGGACCATTATTGGCGGAAGGTCCCTAAAGTTGGGATTATTGTGTAATAATCAATAGTTGGGATTATTATGAGCGGACCGCCAATAGTTGGGATTATTACTATCAATTTTTCCTTTAATTTTTAAAGATGGAAAGTAATTCTTCTGTTATGCAAAACAACTTTGATAAGTGGAAGGACCCGAAGACCGGACTGTGGTGGACAACTTGCAAGTGGTGCAAGAAAGAGTGTTGCTTGGGGCGTTCACACGGAGTCGGGATGCCAATGAAACATATGAAGTCATGTGACAAAGGTAAAACAACAACCAACGGTGGAGGAAATCCCAATTGATATTTATTCGAAAATGTATTTCATATAGGGCTGGACTCGGGCCGGGCGGCCCGACCCGGGACCGAACCGGCCCGGTCACTGTTTGGCCCGGCCCGGCCCGTGGCCCGGTGGGTCCACCGGTTCGGTTTGGCCCGGCCCGGGTGATGGGCGGTCCGGGCTCGGGCCCAGGTTTTGGTGAACCGGCCCGGCCGGTTCGGGCCCAGTCCGGGCCGAAATTTAAATTTTTTTTTTAATTTTTTTTAAGTTTTAGGTTGGATTAGATATTTTGGGCCATTTGAGGTGGTTTGGGATGGTTTGGGGTTGAGGGGGAGGGGTAGGGGATTAAATAGGAGAACAAAAAAAAAATTAATTAGGCCGGTTCGGCCCGACCCGGCCCGGCCTAGTTTGGCCCGGAACCGGAACCGGAACCGGCCACCGGCAGTTCGGGCTCGAGCCTCCCCTTTCCTGGCCCGAGGCCCGGCCGGGCCCAGGCCCGAACCGGGCCCGAACCGGCCCCAGTCCAGCCCTAATTTCATATTGTTATTTTTTCCTCAATTCTCAAATGTACTTCCTATTTCAAATAAATGCACTTGAATTTTTGTTTTTAATAACAATTATTATAATAATATAGTATAGAATATAAAAAAAATTAAAAGGACCGGCCCGTGAACCGGGCGGGTGGCCCGGCCCGAACCGGACCTGGGGTCACCCGGGCCGGTTCCAGGCCTCCCAAACCGTGAACCGAGGCCCGACCGATTCAACTTTCAAGGCCCGAACCGAGTCCATGCCTAGTTCCCGTTAGGCCGGCTGGACATGAAAAGTCCTCTATATAAATGTTTGAGTATATATTTATAACGGGGGCGGGGCGGGGATGGGGCGGATGTAGCAATTCCCATCCCCCGCCCCATATTTTAACAGGATAAAAATATCTCACCCATCCCCACCCCCACCCCACTCCAAGCCCCGCCCCATCCTCCTCCACGGGACGATTCCCCACAGGTCCCCGCCCCCATTGCCATCCTAAAGTACCATACAATTATCAAAACCTTATTTTCGAACATAGTTACAAGTTTACAACGAAGTGCACAATTACTAAACAATTATTTTAAAGTTACCATATAATTAATAATTTTACACAACAATTTAGAATCCAGCAATCGAAGAATTTTACAATAACACGATAACCAAAAAATAATTATCAAAGTAAATATAATTACCAAAGTCTAGTTTCCAAACACTTTTACACCAGAAGGCATCATTGCCTACAATTACAATTTACAACATACAACTATTATGATACCTAATTTTCAGGAAGCTGAAGTCGATTTATACTACAACCAAATGAAAAATAAAGCATAATTATACTAACTTCATGAAAACATTTTTCATATCAAAGATAGCTACACTTATTGCTTGAAAGTACTCATACAAAGTACAAAGAAATCTTATTAGCATCCTACTTAGGTTTTGCATCATTCCGCCATCAATAAATTCAAATATCCACTCTGTTATACGAGTGTAGAGCTCATTCAATGTGTGAATACAATTTTCCCTCCAGCACCGTCAATAATATCCACTCTGCATATTTTTCCCCATATCAGGTTAGTAAACCACTATTTAAATTATTATAAATATTTTTTCCTAATTTTTCAGAATAGTTATAAAATTAAAAACATACTTTTCGATGTAAAAAAATACTATTAAATTTGGATAGTTTTAAAAGAAAATTCATATTTTTAATTTTGAGAAAGTTAAAAATGAAGGAAAAATAAAATATGCTCCCTTCGTTCCTTAAAACTTGGTTAAGTTTGATCGACACGGGGATTAATAAAGTAAAAACTTTGTGGTTAAGTTTCGTGCAGAAAAGAATCAAACGGAACCACAACTTTTTTACTTAAAAGGGAAAATGACAAAGTTAGTGGGACAACCCAAAAAGGAAAGTTAACAAAGTTTTAACGTTTAGGGGATAGAGGCCTTTGGGTTTAAATTGTGGGCGGTTGAACCATTATTTCCCATTCTAGTACCAAAGGCATCCCCTAGCTCTTAGATTTACTCAAAAGCACTTTTTTTAAAAAAGTTAGCCTTGATGCGGGACAATGTCATGCAGAAATCACTGCCCAATTCCTTTAAAATTTTCCTCAAAAAAACTTTTACTTCAAAAATCTAGTCAGTGGGCGAGCCGTACCTTTTTGTGCTATGCATGCCTCCCATGCTGATCGGTCATGAGGAACCCACTCTCACTCCCACTCGTCTATTTACCCATCTAAAAATACTCCCTTATGTAAACAATTAAGAGTCACTAAACTCATTTTTCACTCTTCAATTGATTCTCCCACTACACGATAGTGCAAGCTGGATATCCTGTTACAACCACCGCCATCAGGGCATCAGGCTCTTGAGAGGGGAGATAATTCTTAGGATTTCTGAAAGAGAGCGGGCCAAGACACCTTCTTCACTTTTCATCCTCTGGTTTTGCTTTTCTCTATGTGCCGCGAACCATGTGGAAAAACTCAGACCTTCATACCAATTTTGCTGCACCTTAAAGAGTAGAAAGGAAAGGGCGAAACGAGGTTTATTATTGAAGTGAAATGATAGAATGAACTTTTCCCATTTTTTTACTCCTAACAAAAGATGTTACTCCTGCATCGGTCAATTTCTCATTAAATAATGGAGAGCAACTTAACCATTTTAGTGTTTTAAGTTTTAATTGGAATCCTGAATGGGCAAGCAAGAAGGCTAAAGACAGAATCAAATTTAAATTTACCTGATTGCATTGGAACAGAGATATGTGATGGGGGTGACTTCCTATTGCCGCACGAGTTCACCCCCGACAAAACTAAAGTTTCGGTCTCCGCCACAAAACCATTTATTATCAAAATGATAGCAGCCTGTCACAGAGTTGTTCCTTTAACAAGGTAATGTGACAAAAAGGTCATGACAAACCACTTGTAGGCATATGTAAAATGAGTGCCGAACGGGAATCGAACTCAAGGCATTTGGTTTAATCGCTCAACGCGCACACCAATTCACGCTTGTACATCATGGATGGTGACTGTGGATAAGACAATTTCCTACCAATATTCTCGACAGGAGCATGACCCGTCAACAAAATGATGGAATCGGTTGGTGTCCCTCACAATAATCTCCCGAGCTGTGATCTTCGAGATGAGTTTGATGGCTGTGTGGCAATCGCCACATATACGAAGGTTTTTAATCACCCGGATCACATCATCAGGTTTAGTGCTGCTAATTAAGCCAAACGCAACCGCAAGCTTCTCACTATGACACCCAACAAAATACTCCTTCTCCTCCTCTTCGATATCAAAGAGAACATATTCAGTCTCTGGAACGTACCCCGCTTCCCTTAACCCCTTCTCCAGCTCACCAAGTTTACCATGAATCTGATCTGACATTGGGTGCCTCCTATCACCTACAAGAAATTCGTGAACCTTTCCACCAACTTCTATCCAACTACACGCAGGCAGCTTCTGGATCTTCATTTTGTTCATATCAGATCGGATCTTTTCTGAATCACTCCACTTGCGGTTGGCTGAGTATATGTTTGCCAGAAGAACGTAGTTACCACAATTCCACGGCTCGAGTTTAATCAGTTCCTTTAAAACATGCTCCGCTAACTTTGTATCACGATATAACCGGCACCCGGCTAATAGCGCCCCCCAAATGACGGCATTAGCCTTCATCGGCATCCTGGTAATTAAGGAATGGGCCTCCTCTAACCTGCCTGCCCGCCCAAGAAGATCGACCATGCAACCGTAATGTTGAATGTCATGTTTCAAGAAATACAACTGGACCATGCTGTCAAAAAAGCGACGGCCTTCATTTAGAAGGCCAGCATGAGTACAGGCGCAGAGAAGACCCATGAAGGTGTTGCCGTCAGGAGGAATCCCATGCTTCTCTAATTGGGCAAAGCATGAGAATGACGATCTAACGTAGCCGTGCATGGCAAGCCCAGAGATCATGGCATTCCAGACGACACAATCCCTCACCTTCATTTCTTTAAACACTGCCCAAGCAAAACTCATTTCTCCGCATTTTGCATACATGTCTATGAGTGAAGTACCTAAAACCGGGTTGAGATGGAATTCTTTTTTGTCGATCAGGTTACTGGCCAAGATACCCACGTTTAAAGCTCCTAATCTTCCACACGCAGACAACACTCCAACCATTGAGTAACAATCAAGACTCATATTTGACCTTTGCATTCTGTAGAACAAATCCAGTGCCTCCTTGGGGAGGCCGTTCGCAGCGTAACCTTGAATCATAGCACTCCATGAAACAATATCCTTTTCAGACATTTCCTCAAACACATGCCGGGCTTTCTCCATGTTCCCACATTTCGAGTACATGTCCACCAAAGAAGTACTCACAAACACATTCATTCGACCACAAGTGTCCAAAATATACCTGTGTATCCACTCACCGGTTCCAATATCTCCTAGATGACCGCAAGCAGAGAGTACCCGAACAAGGATGAAGCTGTCTGGCATCAAACCCATCCCCACACACCTGCAGAACAAATCAACAGCTTCTCTAAACCTTCCGAAAGCTACATATGCACCCATGATCGATGTCCAAGAAACCACATTCTTCTCAGGAAGACCATCGAACACTTTGTGCGCATCCTGTAAGCACACGCATTTTGCATAAAAACAAACCAACCCGGTGCTCACGAACGGGTCATCACCAAACCCAGTTTTCACGACAAGGCCATGAGCCTTGATCCCCAGTTCATAATCAGAAATCCTGGCACATGATTTAAGAAGAAAAGGGAATGTGAAGTTGTTCGGCAAATAGCTCATTTGGCGCATGGAGTTGAAGACTTCTATGGCAAAATCGAAGCAGTCGTTGTTTACTAAACCCCGGATCATAGTGTTCCATAGAAAGATGTTAGGTTCTAAGGTTTGGCTGAAAAGAAGCTTAGCGTAGTCAGGATTGTGGAAGGAGTTGAGAGTAAGCATCAGCAGTTGGTTAAGAAGATAGTTATTTTGGTGTAAACCAGAGCGGAGAAGCCGAGCGTGGATGTGCTTGAAGTGGTTGAATGACTCGAAGCCTTGAAAGAGAGCCGCTTTGATCTCCACCAGGGATTTGGGAACAACTGCGGTCGCGAAATTCATGGCTGCCTTAACCTGCAATTCCTTATTAAAAAAAACCTTAAATAAAACGTATGTAGAAGTGCTTTTAAGTTGGAAGTTTATCGGTCTAAGACCTGAAAGATAGATGAATTATCAATCCGGGATCTAAAAGATGAAATGTGTTGAAGATGCCCCAAAAGATTGAAAAATATCAATCTGGGACCTCGAATTCCATAGGTTTTGATTTTTTTATTAATTCCATTGCTAATTTTTTTATGAGTATTTCTTCACAAAAGTTTATTAGTTTAATAGATTAAATATAATAAATTTTAAAAAAATCTTTTAGGTCTCGTATTGATAACTTATCTATCTTTCAGGTCCTGGTTTGATAAAATTCCTTTTAAGTTTGAAAAGTTTTATGCGTTTAATAGATACTACTCCGTAGTATATTATTTGAACACTTCTCTATATTTTAATTCTACTAGTTTTTCACCCATGCGTTGCATGGGATATCAAATTAAAAATCACTTGTAATGTCATTAAATGTATCCAAATGTTATCAAACAAAGTATTGAAAATACTTTAATACAATGTACCGATAATATGAGCTGATAAATACGTAGTAGAAAATAAAAATCATAGTATAGAGCTCGAAAACAGTATGTAAGCCATCGTTCATCGTCCACGGGATTCTTGATCTCAATAGCCTTATTGAAGCATATCGAAAAACAAAATCACTAGTTCACTACATATATTAATATGTGTTAGCGGACCCTAAAATCTTCTGGGCTAAGGCTTGGATGCTATTGTTTATCAATATGGCACGTTAAAGTAAATGTTATGTTCCTTTCATCTAAAATTGTTTATTAGTCCATCATCATACACAAAAACACAAATTATTTGACAATTTTAAAGATATATGAACTTTTTTATCACTATAAAATAGATAGCACTTACATCAGATAAACAATAGTACATGTCAATGCATAATTATGATTTAAGTAAAATCACCAGTGCTATCTTTGTTACCTTTATAATGTCTAATGCGAGAAGATGGTGAAAAATATAAAGTTCCTTTAAAAGAAAGTTGCAAGGCATATGTTGTACAATTGTATATTTTACTTTTATTCATAACAAAGTGTTGTGTGCTCATTTTCAACATTTTAGATGCTTAATTCTATTTGTATGGGCTCTAGTGATTTTGTAAAATTAAGCCAATAAAAGGTGAAAAATAAGGGTTGCCTTCCCTATTCTCTCATTGCTAATCCATTCACAGATCCAAGTAAATGGAGAGATCAAGAATTATGTCCGTCATTGTTGTTGACATTTTTTCTTGTATTTTTTGCATATTTTCATAAGGCTTTTAACAAAATTATAATGGAAAAGTAAAGAACATTAAGTGGACTACTCAGTAACCATGCACAAGAATACAGAAACATACCTGTGGTTTAAATTTATGAGATAGAAGAATCCGCAAGTAATGGACTCTTCAACAAATTATCAACTACCTATGATAAATGATCAATCGCACAAAACAAAATCAGTAACACACACTTTTTGAAAACTCAATAAACCATTTCATATTTTATCATGAGAGAAAACATATCAACTTTTGTAGCATTACCAACTATGCCAGTAGAGTTTGCTGATGACGAAAGTTAAGAAGCAAATAATTAGATCATTACCTTCAATAAACACATAATTAGGTGTACTTGATGCCATTAAAATATGCCAAGTTTACAAAAAAAAAGCCTGAATTACTCAATCAAGAGAGAGTATGATATTGTACTTTAATTTTGGAATTCTTTCTTAAACACAGTTGCTGTATAACCCTTTTATAAAATTTCCTTGACCAGACATTGCCCAAGAAATTTTTAATGCGGATGCCCACTTACTTTTAAATGATTCAACACTTGCAAATTTAAATAAATTACCCCCAGGCCTTTGTTCTTTATTAGTTATCCCTTATTCCTTTTTAAAAAGTTTTTTATTATTTGTTTCTCTTCCATTTTTAGTAAGTTTTTCTTATCAAGATACCTTTATACCCTTACTTTTATTACCCTTACCTTTTTACATTTTACAATCTATCTTCTCTTTCCTACTTTTTCATTACTTTCCTCATAATATAATCTCTTTCATACTACTACATTTACCCTATACCCATTATACTACCCCTACTATTTTCTTCTTAAAAGCCATAAAATACCTAAGTGGACAGTTAATTAAGAACAGAGCTAGTATGATAAAAATACCAAAATAAAATGAAAGGAGAAATATATTGAGGTTAAGCGAGAATGATCATAGTTATTGCTTATAAGTTTTAGAAATTAAATTTATTAAATCATATTGAGGTGAAGAGAAAATGAGCATAATTATTAAGGAAGTCCTCAACGTTCTTGTCTACTATAACCTTGGTACAATTTATCGAGTTTGCAAGAATGCATTCATCTAAAATATTAAAATATTGTTCTTCAAACTTCAGAAAAGTCGGATGAAGGAAGCGGGCAATGAGGAGCGAGGTAGTTTGGATTTTTCAAGTAAGGAAGTGGGATGAAGACAGAAATCTTACAATTAAATAGGTTCCATCTTATATAATTCTACCTTATGGTTCTTATTCTTACAATTTAATAGGTTCTATCTTATGTCATTATACCTTATGGTTCTTATTATTGATCCACTTTTTCAATTGTTAGTAGAATAAAGATGTTGCTGGCTTAAAAGGTATTCTAAAGGTGACAACAAACGAGCCATAATGGCTAATGTTAAATGTTTTAGTTCTTGGTTATATCAAAAGGTTAAAAATATGAAAAGCATTTGACAAAGAAGATGAAAAGAAACATATTAAGTTGAACCAATAAAGCAAGAAATCTAACTTATCATAAATACACACAAAAATCAACCCAAAACAATCAACAACTATGATTCTATGAAAGCAGAATACCAGAAAGCATTGAATTGAAGGTCAGGAGGCCGAAAGGGTGAAGGGGCGAAGTGGCTGCAATTATGGGATTCTGAGAACTGGGAAGGATCGGAACCGCAGGCGGCAGGTCCACTCAGAATGGGCAGGGCAAGGCACCTGTGGGAGGCGGCCAAGCAGCGCAGGCGGAAGGTCCAGTCTGAATGGGCAGGGCCGGGCACCTGTCGGAAGGCGGCCAAGCATCGCAGGCTCGCAACCGTCGTTGTGTCGGAGTCGGGCAGCTTGGCGGTCGGCGTTCCAACTTTTGTGTCGCTCTTCCGTCGGTGTCTGAGTAGGCATGTGGGTGTTTAGCACTTCTACGTTGGGCTTCTGCGTTCGTAACGTCTGCTGAGCGCTGCTTGGGCCGGTAAAATGGTTAGATTAGGATCTAAAACACTAAGGCTGACCGCAACCCTCTCCGTCAAAAAATTAAATCTCCCACTAATTTATACGTATTTACTCAGTCAACTCGGTTTTTTTCTGCAATCCAGCATTGTCAATATATTCAGTCAACAAAATTTTTTAAAATTAAAACCTTACTTTTATTATTATCCATAAGTTTTTAGCCAAATTCTTTTTTGCGAATAATTATGATTTAAAAAGTCAAACATTTCGATATAAAAATAACTAAATTTGAAATTCATTTTTTTATTCTTACTTCAATCGTTTAAAAATAAAAAAATAACTGGAAGATGTATAAAAGAAATTTAAGTATGAAATTTTAATTTTAGCACTTGGATCCAAAGTTAAGGAAAATATTGGACCTGAAAATCTTCAACAAGTGAAATTTCATTTTTTTAAAATTTTATGTATACATTATTGGTGTCATATGAAAGATAATAAAAAATTATGAATTTTAATATATATTTTGTAAAAATTAAAATTAAAATAAAAAAGTTATAGGAATTCAAAGAAAGTTGGGATTTTTAGTTGCTTGGATATGCGTGTCTTGTCCATGAGCTGCCTCCCAACTTTTCTCTCTGTCTGAGAGTCAATAAGGGTGCTACCAATCCATGCTTGGGGAGCTATGCACCCATTATAAGACCCTTCTCTACGCTTTTTTCTTTGGGTTGGAGTACACATAGGAGTCAATAGATTGAATATGACTTTTTCACTCCATACGTTGCAATCAGGCTAAGAGGCCGTTTGATAGCACTGTTTTTCGGCTTATCAGGCTTATCAGCCACTTTTTCATCAAACACGTAACTTTTACTTTCACGCGCTGAGTTGTGTAATAAGCAGAAAAAGTAAGGTTGGAGTTACTTTTCTGACTGTTTTGGTTGGAGTTACTGTAGATGACCATTTTAACTATTTTTACTTATAATTTTTTCTTTATTTTATTAATAATATATATTTTAAAAATAATTGTTTCTTAAATCACCAGAATCGGCCAATGCAGCCACTTCAGCCAGAACTTCAAAAATTTCAGCAAAATCAACCAAAACAACTAATTTTCGTGCTACCAAACGGGCTCTAAAACTCACCCTACTCATATCTAGAGAAATTCTAATCATACAAACCTATTTACTAACTAACCCACCTATCCTCGAATAAGGCAATTTCTTCTGGGAAAAGGGCTAAATAAACCCTCAAACTTACAAAAAAGTGCAAATCACCCCTTATATAGGAGGCTTTGTCCGGCCGTCGCCATTTCGGGCAGTTCCCGTTGGAATTTTTGGATAAATTTTTTTTACCATCTTCTTCATTAAGTCTAATTTACACATACCAAATTTCAGCTAAAAATAAAACCGGGAAGGCAATCAAATGAAATATACTGCGTTGTTATCTTCAAAAATTCATTTGTCTGTCTTCCCGGTTGAATTTTCATCTAACATTTGGTATGGAGAAACTAGACTTAATGAAGAGGATACTCAAGAAATTTCATCAAAAAATTCCACCGGGAACCTCCCCAAATGGTGACGGCCGGACAGAGCCTTCTATATAAGGGGTGATTTGCACTTTTTTGGTTTGTTCGAGGGCTTATTGGCCCATTTTCCCTATTAATTTCTTTTTTATCCTACGAGTTAGTTTTGTGTTAATTCCAAGTATGCCCGTTAAATTAAACACACGGGAACCGTTGAGACATTTTGAAATTTCTGCTCTGTGTGTCCATGGCAGAAGCTATGCCAGAACTTCCCTATCGAGGCAGAACAGAAAGGAGAAAGGAGAAAGGAGAAAGGAGATACAAGTCCGGCGATGCCTCACTCATTGGCGGCGGTGTAGTTATTGAGCTGGAACATCATGATACGAAGCTAATAATCCTCTCTGGAGTGTTGAATTCCTCATCGAAACTCCTGACCTCATCCACTCGGCATCGTCTCACTTGTTGCATTTGTCATCTACATGTCATGAGAAAGTTTTATATTTTCTTTCCAAACACATATGCTTAAATATTCTTATGAAATGCACTTTGTATATCTTTTATACACTTGGGGGTGTTTGGGTCTACTTTTGAAAACTGTTTCCGCTCCTTCAAGGAGTAGAAACAAATATTGGAGTGTTTGGGTGAAGTGTAGAAGCATTTCTGAGTGCTCCAAATTGCTCCTAGAAATGTTTTTTGGAAGCTGGGGGAGACTACGTCACGTAAAATGATTCTGAAGCAGAAGTAGAATCAATTTCAAACACCCCTACATATCTCTTTAGTGCAGCCATATGCTTTTTATGTGCTATTGGGGTATTAAATTATACTTTTGGATTAAAAGTCAAGTTAGAATGGGTTGGTGCAAGGGAAGTATTTGTATTTCATGTTTATATTAATTTTACTTGACAATCTCGTGGAGCCAACTTAGTGCTTGCCATGCTTCAATTATTGTAACGAGTGTGATCTAAAAACTCAACTAATTCTTTGACTAAATGTTCTAATGTTGTACACATCATAAATTGAGAGTCAACCTATTGCGCTTTGTCTGGAATCCTTCCACATTTGTCTTTTCAATACTCCCTTGTTTCAAAATGATTTGAAAACTTTAATTATTGGGTAACACGTTTTATTTCCTTTTCTGATTTTGAATATCAATTGTGTAATCATATTGGAATTTGGTATTTGAGGTATAGTGAAAAAGTAGTACTTATGTGTGCAAAGAGACACTTATTTAAAGGTCAAGAAACATACTTGGCAGGCTTAAAAAGTAGTACTTATGTGTGCAAATGATATTACATGAGTACATCAGGAATCCTTAAATAATCCAAGTAACATTTTATACCAAAGAAAGCTGGGCAAGATAAGAAATACTCCGTACTTGGCTTGCTAAAGACCAAAATAACAAAGATGTGTTATGATCTTCAGATTCTTCAGGATCAACAGTTGGATTAGCCAAAAGAGCTACCAAACCAGTGCCAATATGATTGAAGAGGAGACCGTAGAAATAGGTTTGATTGTCCATTTTTTGGATATTTTTTTATATAGATAAAATATTCTTGGGATAATGAAACATAGAAGCAATTGGATGTATAAAATAATGGGGTGTAGATGTTCAAATAACCTTGCTTGAATGTTAAAAATCAACAAATGATACACATATGTCATAACGCTCAACCGGTTAGATGAGAATGATTCAGCAGGAGGAAAGATCAAATGAGCACATTAATGTATGAAAGGCCCAAGTTGTGTTGCCCAAATAATTTGCACGTTGATTATTTTTCTTGATTTCCTATGCAGAATTATGTCGACAATCTGAAATATTTGAGAGGCATGTTGAGGCCTGGCAGATGACACTAATATGGAAAGCACGATCACAACAATCTTTAAGTAACCTCAAAGAAATCTACAAGAATTGTTTTGGGGATAATACTGAGGATTGATTTGTTTCTCTAAATTAACTCTCCTACCTTTTTTAAATTAAAAATTTCTCTAAATGTTTGATTTTATGCATACATTATATTTTCTCTTCTCAATTCTTAAATAATTGCAACATACTTGTAGAAGATTTTTTTTTCTTGCTAGAAGATTTAACATACTTTTTACTCCAACTACAATTTTGTAATGGTAGTGCTTTTTTGCTCCGGCTGCGCTTTTTCTCTTCCATCATCAACACTCTTCACAACAGGCATCATCCCTTCTCATCTTTTTTCCATTCTGCCACACCACATTACCATAACCTCCTTTTTGTAATTCTACTCCTCCGATGCAGAGAACCTACCAAATGGTAATAGTTATAAAAATTGATATGTTATGATCTGAAACCATCTTAAGATCAAATGAAAGAAATGTCATTAACCATGGTGCTCCACTCGAGCTGTTTTTACAGGAAGAAAATTACGGATTTTAATTGAAAATGGAGGATAGGAAGAATTGTTGCCACCTACCGGAACCCTTATTTTGCATCCCAATTTGGTTTCTCCCTTGTAGGAACAGTATATGTTGCAGATAAAGATAATAGTGATCGATAAGGGTAAAAAAGGAAAATACGGGAGTCGATCCTCAATATGTAATTCTCGTGCCCAGAGCTATGTTGCAATTATATCCGAACGGATGAAGTATTATACGGAGTACTTTTAATCACAACAAAGACAAAAAATAGAATAAATTTCCCATGGACGGGATTGATGCTTATAAATTAACCTTATCTTCATCTTTCATTATGGCTTTTTCCATGACAAGATTGATGTTTATAAAGTTATACATCCAACATTAAAGCTATAAGTTCTGTTATGTTTTCATGTGTACTTGGGTACAATGCAGAGTGGCGGGGAACATGTATAAAAATGTGGTAAATACATATGCTCTAAATGCTTCTTTGCTATATTTTCCAGGTTTATAAATATACTATGTCCCATTGGATTTTGCCAATTTTCCCTTTTTTATTGTCTCAAAAAACTTTGCAACTTTCCTATTAAAGCAACTAATTTGTGGTTCTACACATTTCTCTCTCCTCTGCACAAATCTCAACCACACAATTTTTACTATTCTTATTTCCCACCTACTTTGCACTTGGCAAAGTCCACCGGGACGGAGGTAGTATAAATCATCCAAGACTTACAGTTCTCTGGGTTAGAGCAATCGGTGCACACAAATTGACAGAAAAATGGTTCCTTGATGACAAAACGAGAAGGGGAATGATGTTGTATTCAGAGTCTCAGAGAAGATTCTTGATGGAAGAACGAGAAGGAGAAAGGAGAAGAATCTCAATGGAAAGAGAATAACAAGCTAAGGATGTTGTATTTGAAGAAATTCGTTGATTATCTTCTCCTAAATTTGTTAGATTGAGGCAATGTCGACATTATTAGTTGTCGATGAATTGTCATATATTTGTACAAGGGTAAAAATGATATTCGATATTTATTTAAATTTAATTATGTGGTTGTAATTAGTAATTTTGTGGTTGTGAATAGAACCACTCCATATCTATTACGTAG